TGTGTCAGAGACAATAATGTTGACCCAGGATACAACAAGTTTCAGGGCGTTTGTACATAGGGTGGCTACAAGTTGCAAGCAACTCAACGGCACATAATGATAACAAAAACAACAACATGAATGATGAATACTTTTATGAACAGAAAGTCTTACATTTTAAACACTAATTTATTGACATATATTATTATGGAAGAGGAGATAAAGCTATTTAATTGAAATTTCCATTGTTGATTCAAGCTATAGGCATTTTCCCAGTAATGTAAATATATTGTTCATTTTTGGAACTGGAATATCTTTATGATATCGAAACTCTTAAAAGTCACTGGTTGTCCCCTTTCAAAATTTCTACACGTGTTAAAAATGTATCTACCAAGATTAGATTTAAATCCACCGTATTTATGAACAACACAAGTCCTTTTCTCAGAGGTATGGTTGTGTGTATCTGTGTGTGTCCATGCCATTCACTTCTAATATATAAACATACAAAAAGTCATAGTTTTACTCACATTTCAAACCAATAACATTTCTCCTCAAACCCTATTAAATATTTTAAATGAGTTCTTTTTACCAATTGCTTAATACAATCAAAATACCAAACCCGTTTCCATCATGCTGTTTTTGACTTCTAGTAACCCTGTAAGAGACTGGAGAAGCCCTGTAGTGTTTCCGGGGATGTAAATTTCTACACAAGGAGACTCTCATACCTTTACCCCTTGCTGAAGTTGGTGGATTGGAACTGACAGCTTTAACCACTGTGGTCTTTAAACACTGCACCACCATATTTAAAGCTGGGTCCACGGACTCATAGATAATGAGTAGATTTACAGTTTCAAAAACATGAAATTTTTCATTTTTGCAATATAGTCTTTCACATTAGGTGATCATTTAATCAAGCCTTTACAATTATAGATCAACATTTATTTACATGGTAATGGTTACCAACAAACTTAAAAATTGTGCTAATAAGGCACTCATCTAATCAAGTTTTAATAGCAGCAAATTGTAATCAGAAATTATTCTAACAGAAGTGTTTTTAACAATTAGGTTTTCTAGTTACGGCATTTAGAAAGTACAACTTACCTTTAAGAGAGGTTGTATAAGATGTGGTAATTCGTATTCAAGACAAATGAACCAACAGCCTGTTCTGGACACCTGGGTAGAAAAATATGTGTGTTGTCAATGTGCTACCATAGGAACGCTCTGTTTACTGGAAATGAAAACTAATAATAAAATATTTAACCAAAGAACAGGTCTCATAAGAGTATTATACAAGACCTGGTATAAAATTGAAAACAGAACAACTAAGAAATAGAATTTATCAGGAAGGTGATATTTGAAATGTGCCTTAAAGTGTACTAGATCTAGTTTAGACAAATTAATAAAATTTAATTTAAAAAGTAAAGAAAAGCAAATGATGACTGAGAAAATTATTCATGAAAGAAATGTTCTCTTTGAAAATTATGTCCATCTACCTCTGAGAACTCTGAAAGTCGATTGGGTAAGGTTGAAGTCCGAACCTAAAGGCAGGTGATTTAAATTTACCAGCTGTTGACGGAGAAAGATAGACATTCTCCTCTGCGACGTCCGGCCTCTGCGATCCCACTTAAGCGCTAGTTAGAAGTCAGTTTTAAACACCGCAGTACTTAAGAAAAACACTATCTTTTAGAAGTAGTCAAGTGTTGTAGAGAAGGAAGTTTTTCTTTTCTTCACCTAAGCAAATTCTTTAGTCAGTAATGGTGTAGGCTTCATTTTAGAAACATGGAGAGTTTTCTATATCTTTCTCTATGTGCTATCCTTAACTTCTCTTGGACACATAATTAAAACCATGGAAACAGAAGTCTTCAAATCAAGGAATGTGTTACATTGGGCAAGCCTCATGCAAAATATCTCTTTAACATATTAGAAAACAAGGATGTTACTTTTAGGTGTAAGATACGCCTGACTCAGATTATCTTTTTAGTTGCCTCATACATATGTGGAAGTTGGTCAATGAATAAGAAAATAAAACAATCGATGTCTTTGGATATGGTTCTGGTGAAGAATATTAAATATAGCATAGATGATCAGGAGAATAAAGGAGTAACAGGAATGTTCCATAGAAGGAGGGGTGGAGAGACTTGTCTCACATACCTTGGGCATGTTATCAGGAAAGGCCGATCCGGGGAGAAGAATATGATGTTTGGAAATAAAGAGAGTTGATGAAAAAGAAGATCTTAAGTGAAGTGGACTTTCATGGTGCTTTGTTACAAAGGGTCTAAGCACAGCAGTGATGGCGGGGCTACCACTGGGTCAGGCATTGTACACTGTCACGCGGAGTTAGAGCTGCCTCTGTGTCTCCTAACTACAGCGTCTTCTCCTCTTCACATCTTACTGACTATATGCTGCAGTGTGGACAGCACATTTTGTTTTGTTTTGTCTTTGCTATTGTGATTTTGGTAAAAGTTCACAGAGCAAATTTATTTTCCATTTTTATCTCTCACATGCATGTTATTTTTGTGACTTTGATTGCAGTCCCTGTAATGTAACACCCCTCTTACCACTTGGCACCTCTGCTTGCCATTTCCTTTAATCCTTCTTTCCAATCCATTTCACTTATGGAGTTAGTGAGACAGGCTCAGGACAGGGCAGGGTTCAGAACTGCATAGGGTCACTATGCATTGCAAGCAGCTCAACCAATAACATACTGTGACAAGTTCGGAAGCAGGAGTGGCATCCACTTCCTAAACAACATGCCTTGGGAAACTCCATGAACTTTGAGAAATGCCGATGGTAGAGGGGCTTCAGGCCTTTGTTCATAGGGTCGCTGTGAGTCGTGCTCAACTCAAAGGCAATCATCATCAACAACAACAACAATAGGTACTCTAGTTTATCTGTTACTATGTTGCTAAACCCTTCCATTACATCTATATTTCTTGCTGTTATAAATAATGTTGTGATGAGCACAGATGTGCATATGTTTACTTTCATCATTGTTCTTATCCCTCTAAAATGTATACCTAGCAGAGGAATTTCTGGATCATATATTTCTATAGTTCCAACTTCTAATGAAAGCACCATATATAATTCACCGTTGATAGCACCATTTTATAGTTCCACCCGAAGATTATAAAGATCTCAATCCCTCCACAGTCTTGCCAGGATTTATTGTTTTCACAGCCTTGCCAGGATTTATTGCTTTATGTTTATTAATGCTTGGTTGAGATAATTTCTTAGTGTTTTTTTAAAATTTTCTTTTCATTAATGTTTGATGATTATGAGCATTTCTTTTTCCACTGAAATAGTTTCTTTTGTATTACACTTTAATTTTATCGTTGTTTTTGTTGTTAGGTACCATTGAGTTGGAACTAAATCATAGTTGGCTTTCCAGTGAGTTTTCAGAGGCACTAAATCACAATTGGATGAAATTTCCCATCTTCGTCCTGAGGAAGTGTTGGTCAATTTGAACAGTTGGTCGATTTGAACAGTTGGCCTATTTGGCAGTCAACTACTTAGGACCAAGCCATTAGAAGGAATTTTAACTATTGTCTTAGTAACAGAAACCATAATAAAATAAAACTGAAAAAAAATCTAGTAGGGATAATTCTGTGCCTTTCACAAAAGCCACTGGAGTATGAAGGGTACATTTGCCCCAATTAATTTCTATTGGAATCTCCATAAAGACATGGAATTCTTACATCTAATTAAAGATAGCTTTGAGAATTGGCAATATTGATAAAAATAATGGTATAAAAATCCTGTAAATAACTGTGGAAAGTATAGGAATTGGTAGTATGGCATCAGAAATGTGGTTGCATTTGCTGTGCTTTGTGTAGCTACCAGAGACTTAAGTCACAGGTTGTTAAGCGCTTGATCTCAGCGTCTGACCATGATCATGGTGTTAGTGGCAGAGGTTTATTTAATTAGTTTTCATAAAGAAATTTTACTTTTGTTTCATGTGCAATAGCTGTATTATATTGTTGAAATGTAAAGAATTTAAACTTGAAGTAATGCATAAAATTACTGTTTCTGGTACCTACCCCCACTACCCTAGTTACTATATCATTTCATCTCAGCAGGGGTCTTCCTCTCCTGTGCTACCCCTCCCCCCTTCTGAGCATAATATTCTTCTCCAAAGTCAGGTCTCTCCCAGCTATGTGCCCAAAGTATATTAGACAGCACTTCAAAACCCTAGCCTCCAAACAGAAACTTGGTTTCACCCTCTCCAAGACAGACCTATTTGTTTGCTTGGTGGTCAATGGTATGTTCATGACTCTTCTCCAGCCACAGCTCAAAGGCATCAACTCTTCTTCTATCCTCCCTAGTCGTTGTCCAGCTCTCTGATGGACAGCAAATAATTACAAAGACCATGGCCTGGGTGAGGGGAGTAAGGCAAAAATGAATAAAAAATGTTTCCATCAATGACTATAAGAATTGTACCTAATAAATTTAAAAAATATATGGTTGTATTGATTGTGACTGGTAGAGATACAATTATAAGTTTTGTTTTAAATTACTGTACTTGATTTTCCATGCCAAAGCTGCAAGCTGCTCGCTAGCCGCAGTAACATTTTCTTCCATCTTTTTTCAGGCTGAAGTCATCGATGTGAGCTATGGAACTGTAGATGATTTAAAAAGTCTTAAAGTGAAAAATACAACAAATCAGATTGCACTCTTGAAGTTAGGAAGATTGCCACTGCTTTATAAGGTTGGTGAAATGGTTGTAATTCTGTGGTGGGGTGGGGGTTTTATGTGCTGGAGTTTTATGCCTCTGTGTGTGTGGAGACAGAGAAGTAAGGAGTGTCACAAAGATCATAACAGAAAAATAATTTCCAGCGGTGGAATTTGAAATTGAGAGAAATTGATATCCTTGATACAGACAGCAGCAGACCAGCAGGTCCTGGTGAGTTTGAGGGACCATCGTGTGATTGTCATACTCTTGTTAGAACTCAGAGTTGCGTGACCTCACCTCCTGAAATGTGTGAATCTTCTAGTCTATTATCAAAACTGACTAATTTCCGTGTGCCTTCTGTTAGGCTAGTATCTAGCTGATTTACACTCCTTGGTGATTGATTTTGTCAACTGTCTAACTTCACAGTTACTGACTGTGCTTGGGAATTTAATTAAAATATAATGTGCTAAGGAGACACAGAATTTTGATTTATTTTATTTAAATTGAAGTTTATTAACACTCATCCACTAGATGCATTTACATAATTAAAGCATCTCAATCTAAGTGTCTGATAATGAGCTATTGCAATAGACAGCCAGCACTGCTCGTTCTAACTTCATTTAATTTTTCTATTTAAAAAGAATGAGCAGTGTGATTATGTAACTGGAACTCTGTGTTCCTGAAGATATATTGGAATTTTCCTCCTCTAACTCTAAAAGAACTTTACAATTTTCCAGGTCCAAAAATTTTCCAAAAATCTGTTGACACATTTTGTAAGAAGACGAGAGAACATTTGGTTCTTCTTCTCCATTAGACTTTAATCGGTGTCTGAGCACTGAGACCGGCCTAGAAGTTTAGGATAGTTTAAAAAAAAATAGCATGTGTTGATACTAAAATAATTCCATTAGATCCAGTAACTTTCAATGTCTTGTGGGAGGAAAAAAAAAATCAGCTTTCATATATGTACTAATGACTAGCCATGTGATGATATATTATAAATGATAGAAAAAAATAATGTTTCATTTGTGCTTTTAAATACTATACAGTTATATATAGAAGAATATTTAATTATATAACTAAAGATCATAATTAAAATTATCATATTCTAATACTAGTGATTATATTGCTATTATTACTTCTAGAGAGAACATTTTCATATTTTTAAGATTTTTTTATTAATTACAGTGAGATCTCTGAAAGCCAGAGCAAAAAAAAGGCTCATATTTTTTTCCAAATTTTCCAGGTCTTCTGCCTCTGATAGGTTCCATTGTTACCACCATTACTGTTTTAGTGGAAAATATTTGAGATTGTGTCTCCAAGGGGTTTGCACCTCTCATAGGTTTCAGTTATTGCAGATTTTCTTGTATCTCACTTGGTCTTTATAGTCGTCATTTGTTGGAATAGAGGTTATTGTTATCTTTAATTTGTAAATAAGGTTAGTTAGGGCAGAGAAAGAATGGGTGAGTGACGTAAAAACATACAGCTAGTTAAATGGCATTATCAGGTAGCCTTATTTACGATGATGACCCTTACAAGTGTGTGTGTGTGTAGAGTAGATATCTAAACACACAGTGAAATTAGAATTTTTAACAGATACAATAGACAAGCATTGCAAAGTGTGCTGCCAAACATCAGTATTTCATAGGAGCTAACTGATATCAGGTTAGACTTTTTACGAAATGACTTCTTACTCATATCTGAAATGTATTGTTGCAGTGGAGATAAACTTTATGGATATTTTTGGTTTGTTTTATTGGTTTTTAGAAATGTTTATTGCAAACCAAGAGACTGAGGCTTCATTGGATCATTGGATTTCTGTCGAGGTTTTCATGCATGTCCCATGCAGTGATGGGATATCAGGGGCTGGTTTTTTATTTTTCCCAATCCTGTACAATAATACGAGATGACTTGACTCAACTTTTGATGGATAATGACAAAAGGAATGTGTGTTTGGAGAATGAACAACATCCTTGTATCTGGAGTCTGGATGAATACATCTGCACTTTTGATGGCCCAAATGTGGATATGATCTGCATTGCTTTCCACTGGACATGTAAATCATACGACATAGATGAGTAAGCTTAGAGCTGCGTGTGACTTAAAGAGCAGGGCACACTTGAAAAGATTCGTAATGCATCCATAGTCCAATGTCAGCGTTGAGCTACGGAGACCCTGAAACCATCGTAAGAGATTGTCAAACAAGAAAAATTGTCCCCATCTATGTTCTAATTTCTAAGTCCTCTGTCTCTAGCACCAGAAAGTTAAGGCTATTGTTAATAAATGAGAAAGAATATAAACAGATTACAGTTTTTCCCTAGCAACAGACTAGAATTGGTGAAGAGACAAGAAAATTTAAAAAAAAAAGAACACCAACAAAAAACCAAAACCAAACAAACAACCCAAACCTTAAATCTAGGAATAGTTCTGGTTATTATATGAGAAGAGTATTCTACTTTGCTAAGATCAATGACTCAAATTTATTGTAGGAACTATTAGTATTAATCTGATGATTTATAGGAATGAATACTTTGACATCTAAGTGGTTGCAGAAGAATGCATCTGAATAATTTCTTAAACAGCAATGCGAAACAAAATAATTGTCTGGAGTAAGTTACGTTCTTCCCACTTGTTCATTCTACTAGCAACATACATGATTAAAATGTTTTGTATCAACATTGTTGTTATTGTTATGCACCATCGAGTCGCCAGCAGCTCATAGAGACCCTAGTACAATGACTCTAAACACTGTGCTATCCTGAGCCAGTCTCGGTTACTCCGACACATTGGTCTACTTAGTTTATCAATCCATCTCCTCCGGGGTCTCTCTCTGTTGCTCTAATCCTTCACCCTTTCAAGCATGTGCCCTTTTCCAAGGACTGGTCCCTCTTGGCAACACGCCCAAAGTATATTAGATGGAGCTTCAAAATCCTTGCCTCTGTGGAGAGACTTGGTGTCACCCTCTCTCTTAGCGGTCCATGGTGTGTTCAAGACTCTTCTCTAGCACCACACACCACAACTCAAAGGCGTCAATTCTTTTTTGTCATCCTTAGTCATTGTCCAGCTCTCTGATACATAGCAAGTGATTGTAATGACCACAAGTATATAACTAGGAATAATGATAACTGTTTTCTACTTTTGTATCTTTATATTTTCCTAAATTTCTAAATGTTATATAATTATTGTGTATATACAGGCCACAAGAATAAAACTTCTGAAAATGTAAGACATTTTAAAATTTGTGTAATTAGTCTTTTAAAAAAGAAATAAAAGAGCAATGCGCTCATTACTGTCTGGTCAGATCCAACTCATTGCAGACCAACCTGCACCTGGTGTTTAGAGGCTATGATCCCAAGGGCGGAGGTTGCCCAGCCTCCCAGCACAGGGCAGTGGGTGGATTCAAACCTCTAGCCTTTGTGCTGACAAAGCAACTACGAAGCACTTGACCACCAGAGGCGCTACGGGATGAGTGTCTTACAGGATGAATAACGTCCACCGTAATTACAGGTTGAAGCAAAGCAAGTTAATTTGCATTCAACTGCAAAATTGATTTTACGAGACAATAAACAAGGTTCAGACCTATAGTTCATAGGGTTGCAGTAAGTCATATTTGACTCCAATGTGCTTAACCACAACAATAATAATATTATTTGTCAGTATCTGTCAAGTACTGAATTAGTCTTTTATCAAGAAGAGGAAATAAGTATCAAGAAGCAGGTATTTGTTTCCCTATTTATTTTCTACATAGGCTTAGGAAGAGATTTAAACAAGCAGGCAGGCAAAGCCTTGCCATAAACTTGGCAGGACTTTAGATGCACAGAAGAAGTGACACCTTTTTCCTTAACTGAGATTTCATCGTCTTCATCACTGTTTTCTGTGCCTTGTTGTAGAGATTTGGGGACTTCATTGCATTATACCTATTAATTCCATTTCTGGGTAAAGGAAAGGAAGTGTAGATTAGACAGACAGACATCCGCAGCATAATTATAGCTGACCTTGCCTCATAGGGACATCAAATACGTCCTGGTCCTGGGACTGAAAAATGAGGTAATATAGTTACACACAGTGGGTTGAAAAGGCAAAAGACCAACTGACTTCTGTTTGAAATACAACTGTTAATCATTCTTCAAACGAGCATATTGGCTGGGAACATGAGTGGAAAAAAAAAGTTAATCTTGTTTTAGCTGTGCAAAAGTTGCTAAATCATAGTTCAAAATGAATTTGGGAGGGAATCTCTCTGTATGAGATAGGGAGGGCAAAGGGGAGACATAATTGTAATGTTAAATTATCTCCTAAAATGAGGAGAAAAATAATCTGCAGCCAAGAAGGTGGAGATCTCATTAGTTTTATCATAAATATTACGTACGTGTTAATTTCCTCTCCAGAAAAGGCTGGATGAGAAAAATCTACCCCTTTATATGGCTAGAATTGCAAAATGCAAATGTCTGGGAGATATATGTCTTGACAGTGTCAGCGTGTTGCTGCGGGAGCCTCTGAGAATCTTCCACAGCTAACAGCTTCCCAAAGCTTAACCCTGGAGAAATGGTGTGGGGGTTCATTTTATCTTTGTATTTGTAACAGCTTATTTTATGGGAGAGTGCTTTAATTCTTTAATCTTGAAGACAAATATTCTTTTATTTGTCATAATGGACTCGCTTAGTTTTCTCTCTGTGACAGTCAGAGGCACAGTAAAACAGACTCAGAGGCTCTCATCAATTCCCAAATTGCCAAATAGCACTCTAGTATGAAATTTACTTTATAAAATGCAATAAAAGCATTTAGCTTTCTTTTTGGTGCCATTTTTACAAGAAGCAATAAAAAAAAAACCCAAAAAACAAAAAAACCCAAAACCACATTACTGTGTACTCCATGACAAGTGTAATTGCCTCAATCCCATTGCTGAGGGGAAGTGGGACATTGTGGAGGCCAGTGCTGGCCTTGTCTCCTGGAGAAGTCACATTTGTCCCCAGTAAAATTAGAAATGAACATATCACTTGTTTATATGCATCATTAGATCTCTGTAAAATCCCATGTTAAAA